GTACCCTAAGCCCTCAACCCTAACCCCTGAGTCCCACATGTCGTGCCTAGCCAAGCCCGCTTCGGCTGGGCAGCCTGCATCATAAGGAGTTTCTCAATACAGTGGGCCCTTCGGAACCCTAGGGATATATGTAGAGATTATGCAGGTTCCCCATTACCGGGTTGTATAGGGCTAAGCACGGTTTAGGGCTCATGGGGGTTTATTTTGAGAAGCTCAAACATGAGAAGGAGTGCTTCTTGAGTGGCTGGACCAAGATGAAATGATCAAGCCAAAGGAAGAATTTAATCTTATTCTATATTGGGGGCTATAGGATAGATAGGATGCTCCTGGAATATGAGCCATAGCTCGCCAAGACCATTGAAACGGGTATTCTGGTCGCTTATAGGTTTGTCAGTTGCAATACATGGGAATTCTACGGGAAGTATGTAGGAATGGGTCATACTATATGATATTCTCCGTTATGCCCCTCAGAATGGTAAGGCCTAGCATAAGAAAACCAAACTGGGCACCCTAAACCCTAAAAACACTAAGCCCCAAACCCAGAAAACCCCAAACTTCTGAAAGCCCTAAACCCCTAAATGCCCTAAAACCTAAACCCCAGGACTCTGAGACGCCCCATAGCAACACCGTCGCGATATGGCCAATAAACACTAGATGGGAGAAGTCCGAAAAAGAAAGAAGACTGTTTAGGGTTTAAGGTTTAGGTTAATTAGGGTTTGAGGTTGAGGGTTTAGGTCTGGGGTTCAGACCCTAAACCCTAAACCTTTACCGCGTGTCTTCATGTTGTGTACTGTTGGAGCTCCTCAATAAACAGCATCCTATAGTTGCCAACGTAAGTCGACCGGGCAGGGCCGCCGCAGGGGAACTTCAACTAAGTTACCGTCCTGGATATATGGCAGATCGTAGGGTTCCTTCCAGTGGTAACTTCGTGTACGTGCCTCAAAGCCATAAATGTATATACATATATATGTATGTGTGTATATATCTGTATCAATGAAACAACGGGCTCCCTGATCATACTAGCTTAGCTGAAGTTTCCAAACAGCAACAAAGCCGCCGAGGAAGCAATTCGTTCCAACTCCAAGGCAGGCAAAGCTGTGCCATTCATAGTGTAGATGTGATAATGTCCTCCCCTGATAATGAAACTCCACACCCACCCCCCCCCCCTCCCCCATCAGGAAAAAAACAGTGTCTTGTTTTGGTGGGTTGGTGGTTCTTACAGTGAGGGGATTAAAGGGTTTGAAAGCTTTCCTAGCAAGTCCTGCGTAATTTGTAATGCAGTTATAACTGGCAACCCTATTCTCACGAGGCTTGGGGAGTCTTTATTGGGGCTTATGAGTACAACTACACTTGGGTCACAATTACCCTGAAATAGCCCTGAGATACGGGGATCGTGATACATACAGTTTAGGGACGTTTACGGTAGCAGGTGAGCTAGGCGTAGTCATTGGTCATCCTATGTATCCGCATGTTTCGGGTACCATAGATACACTTGACATCAAACACCACAAACTCTATGTACCACTGTCAAAAGCAGTAGGTGTATCTTCTTCATCAAGCCAGCTTCTGATTCCATAGGGTTTAGGGTTTAGCGGTAAGCTGCAGACATTTTTTGGCTTGCAGATTGTGGTCTGTTGTCCTGGGAACTGTGTCCTCATCTCAGGCAGTAGCAGCCTGGGCAACAGGTATTCAACCTCACTCGATACATTATTGATAGCACATACAAGGCGGGGGCTTAGGGTTTAGAGTTTATGGGCTGTGTAGGGTTTACAGGGTTTACAGGATGTATATGGTTTATATGGCTTTTAATATATGTACATACCCAAAACCGTAAACCCATATCTGTATATGTACATATCCAACAGCATGGTCCAGCCTAAGTGAGGCGGGAATCCATGTCTCTTGCAAGGTGTGTATGACTAAAGCAGAGAAGTCTTCGTTACATGGGTCCCATACATAGAGGGCCAACAAAAAGGACCCCAATACATTTGAATATTGTGGAATGCCCCCATGGACAAGAAGAATCCATTTCAGGCGCTCTGGTTTACAACCCTGAGCCCTAAACCCTCAAACCGAAACCCTAAACCCCAAACCCGGAAACTCTAAACCCTTTACCTGCCCTAAACCCTAAACCTCATTTCAAGGCCACCTCCAGGTTTTGGTAGATGGCTTGGGAGCCCCGATACAAAGGGCTTAGGGTTTAGGGTTTGGGGGGACGAGGCTTCTGTAGTTCAAACCTGTTTCAGGGGGCATCATGTCGAAGGTGGCAATCTATGTAAAACATTTTTTGACCAGTTGCTAAAGTGGAGAGAGATGACGAGAATAGGTTTGCAATATCGGAGTGTGCAGAAAAGGGATCCCTCCACATGCCCCGTAAGAATATAGCAGTCATTCTCGTGGGGCCCGGGGTCTAGTCGAACGTGCTCCTGCCAAAGAACTGCCGGACTGCCAAATCCTGTGACAAGTAGGCATATGAGCTATATGGTCTAAACTCCCCGTATCCCCCTATCACCCCAATACTACTGACTACTCCCCTATACAATCCCCTCTATAACCCCGACTATAGCTCATATGCCCCCTTGCGCAAAATTCCCTTTTTGGGGGGTGGCTGGCAGAAGGCATGTTGCTTCCTGCACATCTTTGATCACAGTTCTTCCCTGCTTGTTCCAAAAAAACGAGGATTCGCGCATCAGTTGCTCCTGAAACCGCGGTGACTAATATGAACATATTTGGCATACGCATGCCAAAGTGGGAACGGCCGCTGATGTGCCCAAAAATCCTACCTGCGCTCCGTCATGGATGGCTGCTGGTTAAGAATTGTCCTTGGGGGCCTACTCAGATCACGAACCCCACAAAACCGACTACTCAATATAGCGCCCGAAAGCTTATCATATAGTTTCTTGGGTTCCTTGCGCAGGGTGCTAGCCAGTGGCGTCACTGCGTGGGCTCATCCGGAAAATTCCCAACTCCCAGTACAGGCAGATGATCCCACGAGCCCACTTGGAGGGTCAGGGGCAGTGAGTGAGTAGGTTACTATGGGGATAACTGGGATGACTACAGGGCAAACACAGGGTTATCATCCAAGCAGTATGCTTTATTGATGTGTTGCATAGCGAGCGTCAGTCGAGGTCTCGCCCACTTCTGCTAGCTCCTCCACCTGCTCCGCAAAACACTGGGTTGGCCCCTAAAACGCTGTGAAAAATGTTTGTCTGTAGAACAGCACTTGAAACTCAGGGTGACATAGTCTAGGCTGGTGTTTCTCGCAACGCAGGAGCAAGGACAGGAGACCAGACTAACTAAGAATCATAATTCTGGTCCTGATCTTGAGTAAGTCCTCAAATTGCAAATGAAAAGTCTGATCACAATTGTTGAGAGGGCTTCAAGCCATGATCATGTGGATATCTTGTTTCAGGTACGGGGCATGCAAGTGCGTGACAATCTTGGTTTTGGCACTAGCTGAGCCTGCTTGCAACTTGAACAAACTACTGCACTGTCCATCAGGACCTGCGTTCAAAAAATAATCCTTTCCCTAAAACCACGTACACCCGCACACCCCCGGGTCTTAAATATCTCATATTGGAGATACACTTAACATTACTGGCTGCGAAGGGATTAATCGCCGAAATTGCCCCTTGACTGGCGTCAAACCTTTGCATAAGTAATCCAAAAACTTCTGGTGACGCTTCGGAAACTAAATGCGGACAGATCCGAGTACAACACTGCATTTGCCCGCCTCATCCACCACGGCCTCTGGCATCGGCGCATCTTCCACCTGAATAGCTCTGCAACAAGATGCCACTCTCTCCCGACCACACACAAAGGCAGTACAGAAAGAACTTGTGACGCATTTTTGGCTGCTTCCAACTGTAGCCTTTGGTGCTTCATACTATTCCCAGGGATGCCTCGGACGTGCGACAAGTACTTCGTACAGTGGCACACCTCCGATCCCGTCAGCGCACTTCGTCATCCCAATCTCAAAGCACAAACAACTTCAACCTGACATCGCATCCGTTAACCCTGCCTCTTCCCGTTTTCTCTTCTTGGACTCCCCCTCCGCTGCAGCGTCCTCATCGGCTGGCTCCATCTCCTGGTCCTGCCATCGGGTTGCGAGGTCTAACGGGAGTTGGGGTGATTGTGGGGTCGGGTTTCAGGTTAGGGCCTCAGTGGCTTAGGGGTTTGGGGGTTTGAGTGTCCAAGATTTGGGCATAGACTGGTTTGGGGATTGATGATTCAGAGTTGCAGGGGTTCCATGTTTCCTGGAACCAGAATGGGCCATGTCACGTTGCATGATCTCCACCATAGCAGGATATGTTTGTGCTTTTGAGTTCCCCTTGTCGCATTCCAAGCAAGCCGCCAAAGCCCAGAAGTCATGTCGCTTAAGCCTTTGTCACGTGAACGCTTTGGCTTGTTGCTCACGAAAACATACATCAGCGTAGCCTCCAATAGTTAGGTGGGCAACCCATGAACCGTAAATCGTGTGGGACGGGCTTACTTTTGTACAGCAAATGTTGCTGCGGGCCATGCTCCGCGTGCCCAAAGGTCTTCTGACTAGTGCTTTAGGGGGGGTGGGAGAGGGAATAGACATATCATTATTACAAGAGGCTATGTGAGCTATAGTCTAAACTCCTAGTATCCCCCTTAATAACCAATACTAGTCCCTCCCTATAATAATCCTACATAACCCCCTTTAAGGAATCTAGACTATAGCTCATACAGTGAGTGTGATTCCAGGGATCCACTTCCCAGCTCTGCCCTAAGCACTCGTTATTATCAGCCGAAACACGCAGTCAGACCTACTACTTGGAGGGTCAGGGGGACTTAGTAAGTGGCTTAATAACCCCTATAACCCATATAGTAACCCTAATTATCCCCATTATCAACCCACTTACTAAGTCCCCCTGACCCTCCAAGTAAGCCCTACCTCCTGCCCCATTTGCCTACAGCTTTGTGGGTTCTACCTGGTAACCGGGGGGTTAAGAGTACTGAACAACATGGGGTGCGAGTGGGGGTTCGGGCAAACCCTGACCCGAGGTTGATTCCGTCCTCTGCTGCCCCTGACTTTGCAGCTCCATCAGCTGCAGCCTCTGTAGCAGAGTATCCAGCATTTATGCAGCGCAAGCGCGGATTTGGGAGACTACTGGGTTGCTGTTAAGGAACTTAAAATTTAATTACCATATTCTGGCTATATCGTAGATCATAGGTTTGAAGCTCCTTGACAGCAACCCAGACCATCTCAGGTACTAAAGACTCAGACTCGGGTTTGAAATTGGGCTTCGCAAAGCCTCCACATGGCGAGTATACTGTGCTCTATACCCATCGCGTGCCCAAGCTCACCAGCAGGTGAGCAAGCTTGCCTTGCTGGACTCCTTGAACTCACCGGGTTTCATGCCAGAATCTGTTTAAAATCCGAGAAAAGGTCAGTTTCCATTCGGGTGCTGGTCAAGACAGCCAGAGTCTAGAATCAATGTAGAACTACAAATGCAAAAACACTGAATGGTAAGAAAACAATGGCAAGTTCCTAGCGTCCTTTTGCGAACCAGCAATGAATGAGCTCTCTGACGTTGCGCTGCCCCCAGAAGTCCATAACTGTAGGGGCCTCAATAACTACCAATATCACTAGAGGCCTGTGTGAGATGCCCAAGAAGCACATACAAGGAATCTAGGACTATGACACTTTCCTTTTAAGCTTCCACATTACTCCACCCAGGCCTCGTCCTGATCTGGCGGAGCTGTGAAGAGAACATCCACCGCCTACAACTGTACATATACAATATATGTATATGCACACGTGTATGCACAGCTGTATGTATTCATGGCTTCGTGTAGGCTCGTATGTGTGCGTCTGTATGTATGTATGTATGTATGTATGTATGTTGGTTGGTTGGTTGGTTGGTTGGTTGGTTGGTTGGTTGGTTGGTTGGTTGGTTGGTTGGTTGGTTGGTTGGTGGGTCGGTTGGTTGGTACACAGAGCGTGATTTGAATCTCACGCGAAGTTCTGGCCCAGAGGGAATCCCTGAACCACCGGTCAGCCATGTGGGTTCTAGCATTCAAGAGTATAGTCCCCCCTTGAGTAGATAGAATATGGGGCATATGGGGATCCTATTATAATAAGACCCAAAGCCATATTCTATCTACTTAAGGAGGACTATACATCCTTGTTGTATGACTTGCAGTCCAGCAGTTGAACGTGTGGGACATTGCCTCTTCGTCCTCCTCATCATCATCCGCGCCTTGGCTAACTCCCCCAATAAACTCACAGACTTCAAAGTCAACTGCTACTAGTGTTAAGCAATGGTGTATATTTATTTTCTTCTATCATCAGATATACATATATGAGCACTCAAGACAGTGATTCGCCCTTCAAAAAAGGCTAAAGGCCAGTACCTTCGCCAGCTGGTGTGGCTTCGGCACCCTCCTTTGACGTAAGGCATCAAAGATCAGGGTTTAGGGTGTTGGGCATCCGGGGGCCACAGGCAAGAAACAGCTTCCACGATCTGTGTCTATGACAAGGTTCAAACTCAAAAGATGCGAGTTCAGATCTGTGTTCTTGGGTGGGGGTCACTGAGGACACCTCCGATAGTTTCCCAAAACAGGGGAACCCAAAAGAGACCCTGAAATATTATAATTCGTATTATCATAGGTACCCCCCAAAGAGTACCCCAGACTTTGGGAAACCCCAGTACGATGACCAGACTGGACTGTGATGGAGGTCGGCCTTCACTGACGTGTTGCTGCCGGCGACGCAATGAAACTGTAGGTACGGCTCGCGTTCGTCTAGTGTGACAAATGCGTGGGGCTTGCCCTAGATTACTCTTCCCAAACCGGATGAAAACGATGTAGGGACTCGTATTGAAATATAAGCCCCGATGGGATACGATTTAAATTTGTGTAAAGTTTAATACCACCACTTCCCATGTATCTGATGCTTGTTCGCATGCGAATGATCTGCGACTATGTACACTGTGGTCACCCTATTAGCTCAGGTTCGAGATCTCGCATCCCTGCCATCGATTGCAGATTGATTTTTGGCAAATGATTTCATCAGCTTGAGTGTGGGAGTTAACTGGTACACGGACTTGAATACCGCCACTTTGTGGGACCCTGGAGTCAGGCAATATACAGCTGTCCCTGCGCACGCCCACTATAAGCCCATAGCAAGCCTTCGCAAGGAGGAACTCATAAGTAACCCCAGGGTCCCACGAAGCACAGCACATCAGCAATAGTCTGAGCTCCTAATATCTCCCTTTATACCCTTATGATACTCCCCTATATAACCCTCTTGTTTAGACCCTCAACCCTAAACCCTTTCTAATCCCCTGCATATCCCACTTTAAGGAGTTTAGACAACAGCTCACATGAGCGCGTCCTCTGCAGAAGCCGGCTTGGCCTGCGTGGTGTCAAATAGCAGTTTATAGGGGATTAAATGGGGTTTAGGGCCTAGACTCTTCAAAGGGGATTATTCAGGGTTTGGGGTTTAGGGTCTAAATTCCTTAAAGGAGGTTATATGGGGAATTATATAGGGTTTAGGGCTGGGGGTTTTCTGGCCTCTTTAGCCCCCCCCCACCCACCCAAACGGGCATTAACGTTATCAAGATTATGGGTATGTGGGAGGTCTAGGTAATGGAAGAGTGCACCAGTTTAAAGAATCGATTATTTGCTGACTAGAAGCCTGTCCCAACAAAATGTTAGCATTACAAACCTTCACAAAGGCCAAGGGCTTACACAAGGTCGGCAAGGCACGCAGTCCCGGTCCATGGGTACGTCTACCCCATGTGCCTTCTTCAATTTTCATACTTAACAGTTTAGGAACTCCTACCACGGGTGCAGTTTCACCTCGTTGTTGCCAAGCAAGAGGCATCTCTGGGACTTCAATGGCTTCTGGCAAGCTAAAATTGGAAAAGTTCAAGGAGCCACATGACATTCCCTAGCAGAATCCACGCTGGGTCAACCCGCACACCCTTGCCCCACCCCCATACAGGCCTCAGCGGCCTCCTCTGATTTTTGGAGGCTTGCTTTGCCCTCCTTCCAGAACCTGGCAGCTGCTAAGTGGGTTCTATTTCATATTTGCAGGAATCAAGGGCTACCGTCTGAAGGTTGTTTTAAAGCTTAGGGTGTAGTAGCCCATGTATAGCCATGGGTCACAGCGTCTCAGGGGCTAAGGGAAACCCAAGGATTTAGATGTCAACAGGGCGAAGTGCGGAAAGTGCACGAAGTGCGGCGCATCTCTTGAAAAGTAGCTGCTTTTCTAGCAGGGGCCATCTGTGGAATTGGTCTTCCTGAAGTGCTTGGCAGTGACTGCTCGGCGAGGTCGCAACAGGAAATAAGGCAGTGTTTGTGGGCAAAACAATACTAAAGTATATAAAGGATTATAAAGGTTTCAATTTTCTCTTCCGTTCCCACACCCTAAATCCTAAGTAGTACTGTAATGACTGCCAGCGCTGTGGAGCTGGGCATCCAAACAAGCCTCTGGGAAGAACCCTTGATATCGGAGCTCATGCTTTGGAAAACACGGGACCGTCTAAACTTCCGCAAGTGCTGCTTCAATTTCTCATAGAAGGGCCCCATTAATTAAGCCAGACTATTTGGGAGGCATATCTTTTCTAGAAGCCTCATATGTCATCGAACCCCGATGCGAGGACCTCTCTCCAGCCAGAAGCTTCGTCCGCCGGTCCTGGTCGGCAAAAAACTACCCACAAAATGCGTGGACAACAGAATGCAAGCTTCCAAGAAATCACGTAAGAATAACATAGTTAAAGGCAAATCGACGGCATCAGGGCTTCCAATCACATACAAACGAGTGAGTGTCCTGCAAGAAGGCTTCGTTTCCAACTTCGCAGTACACCAGGTATTTCCTTGAAAGCAGTACAGTCTTGTGGGCCCGGCAGTTTGGCACACTTTCCGGCTGGGGGTTAGGCAAGGTTTAGGATTCGTTGGCTGCAGCTCATGGTCTAATGTCATGGATGCTCATAGCAACGCCCTCTATACTACCCCCAAGGTTTTTGCCTGGACTAGGTTTATCTAGGCTTGTCGAAGGTTAGTTAAGCAAACCTTAGGGAGGCTGGTATAAGGAGGTTGTTAGGAGAACCCGTGATGCTAGACTGCTTATCACCACGACCATTTGGTGCGAAGTACAGCCTGGAGCTTCCAACTACGAGAACTTCTCCTTTCAGGAAGGGCTGCACCTAACAGCCAGCTGTTGAACTTTGCTTGAATGGGTTTTGTTAAGGAACTTAAATTACGTTACGAGAATAAGAGAACCATATTTTGCTACTATATGCGTCCATAATATGATAATTAACTTAATTCAAGTTCCTTAACAGCAACCCAGAGGACTGCATTGATCAACCAAGCGGCCCTATGCCCAAGGTAGTGCCGTCTCGGATGGGCACTGGCCCATCTTGGTGCCGAATCTTCCTGAGTGTCAGGCACGCTCAGGATCTTAATGCAGACTCCGTCCTGGAAGCCAACCCTGTTTGAGTCGCGTCACGCAGGCCTGATACGGTACTACACCCTACCCTCAGCACTTCAGGGATTCGTACAAAACGCTCTTGGGGACTGCTACAAAATTACTAAAGCCTTTGCTTTAAACCGCCCGGCGTCCAACAGAGCATGACCTTATGTAGGCCCCTGGTGTATATGGTAGTTTCCCAAAATAAGGGAACCCCAATATAGACCCCCAAAATACTATAGGCCTTATTATGGGGACCCCCAAAATGGTACCCCTAATTTTGGGAAACCCCTTAAACCCTATAATCCCCTATATAATCCCAGTTTCCATTTCATTTTCCATTTTCTTTTCCATTTGATTCTCCATTATTGGGGTACCCCTAATTTTGGGAAACCCTAAGCCCTATAAACCCCCCATATAATCCCTATATTCCCCTATATAACCCCTATAAACACCCTTTAAACGGTACCCCTAATTTTGGGAAACCCTAAACCCTAAATCCTAAACCCTATATATCCCTATAGAACCCCTATATAACCTTATATAACCCCTAATTTTGGGAAACCCCCCATATAAGGTTCCAACAACATGGATCCCAAGGAGCTCGAACCTCATCTTCTAAGCCCTCATCCTAATGGGTTTAAAGCGGTTTAGGGTTTAGGGTTTAGGGGTTTAGGGTTTAGGGGTTTAGGGGTTTAGGGTTTAGGGGTTTAGGGGTTTAGGGTTTAGGGGTTTAGGGTTTAAGGTATAGGGTGTAACCCTTAACCCTAAGACTGAACCCACCCACCCCCTGATACTAAAATCTTCCCCCTGAGCCAGGATGCTGCCCATCCACAAGGGTGCCAATTTGCGACTCCAGGGCCATGACGTAGAAATCATTGCCTTACTCGGAGGGTCAGGGAGATTTAGCATAGGGTTCAGGGTTTAGGGTATAAGGGTCAGGGAGATTTAGTATAGGGTTCAGGGTTTAGGGTATATTTATAATAACCTTTGTATTGAATGCTATGTACTAACCCTGTTATCCCCATCATCAAAGTACTTACTGCGTCCCCCCACAGGCTGCTTTCTCGCTATCTTGTTTCAAGTCTACTTGTCCAGGAGCAAGTACTTTGAGGGCTGCCGACAACAGAAGTTTCAACCAGCCAGTGCTGTCAACATGAGTTTTGGCTGCTCTCAGAGTGGGAAAGGCCATGGCAACATCAACCAGGAACAAACACTCAGTACTGTACAAGTTTAAGAAGCTTGCAGTGCAGCAAGCAAAAAGGCGAATGTCTTTCCAGACTCACATTCTTCAAGTTCGCTGGAATTTGTGAAAGGCTTCGGGCATGTGGCAGTAGTGGAGAAGAGAGAGGGCTCCGAAAAACAGGAGCCCGTCTTGGGAGTCCCGATCATAAGGCCGACGATATTTTGGGGTGTATAGTATTATATAGTTCACTTACGAAACTCCCACAGCCCTTTTGCCTAAACTATGTTGATCCTTTGCTGCCAGAGCGCCCATCCTATGCAGCCGGCAGTGCTGATCCTGGCAAGGTGTTTTGGGTGGAATCCCTCAACCCTAACTAAACCCTACTGTAGCACTTGCAGGGACTATATGGAGGTATTCTGGGTTTACATGGCTTTATGGCCATTATGAGTCTACAGGGGCTATGTCGGAAGATGATGTCTTTTTTCTGGGTTATACAGGGATATTGCTGGCTCATAGGGGTGATACAGGAATATCACGGGGCTTTAATGGGAAGTAGGCGCAGTAGCAGCAAAGGTGCAAACATCCCTAGACACAAATGCCATGCAAGCGGATTACAGCTCTGGCTCCTTGATTTGGATACTGCAGCTTTATATGCCTCCTTGGGCTTCACAAACATAAACCGCCGACCCTGGCTTGCCTGTACATCGCCGTAGAGCTTGGAAGCTTCCTTGACACCTCGGCTTCTGGCCAGGTCAAGGGCGCCAACATCACGCAAACGGCTGCACCTGCCTTGGCCTGTTTGAATCCAGAGCCCCCTGGCAGTCTGAGCATTAACTGGATCCGCCTGAGGCTGTTTTGGCCAAAAGTCCCGGCATCATGACCTGCCTCACGTTGTTGCGCGCCAGAGCGGCCGTTGTCGCACCCAAAAGCCACAAGCATCATGAGCATCGGCTGGACTTGCCTCACGCTGTCTCGGCAGCATCATGAGCATCAGCTAGACCTGCCAAAGCCGCCAGCATCATGAGCATCAGCTGGACCCCAAAGCAGCCAGCATTATGAGCATCAGCAGGACCATTCAGGCGGTCGCGCCCCGAAGCCGCCAGCATAATGAGCATCAGCTGGACCTGCCTCAGGCTCTCGCACCCCCAAGCCGCCAGAATCATGAGCATCAGCTGGACCTGCCTTACGCTGTCGCACCCCAATCCCACCAGCATCATGAGCATCAGCT